AGCCGCGCTTTTGTCCGCGCGGGATCCTTACATATGGAAATGACGCGCGCCAGGGTCCCCAGTCGCGTCTTTCGGAGGGACGGCCGCCCGGGACCGCAGCGCCGGCGGCTACGTACGGTCGGGCGCGCGGAGCCCTGACCGAGCGCCCCCCTTGGCTTTGCAGGGCGCCGGAGGCCGGCGGGCGGGCGGCGGCTGAGCGGGCGCTCCGAGAGGCCGACGGAAGGTAGGCGCGCCGGCGGGGGCCCAGGGCGCGCAGCCCGGTGACCCCGCGCGGGCGCTGGGGCGACGGGGGTGGGCGGCCGTGGGGCGCAGCGCAGGGCTCCGCGCCCGCCCACTGGCTGCACCTCCGACTTCCGAGCGCCACCGCGGCCGGGCACCTGGGCCCCCACCCAGGCCAGTCCCCAACTGAAAGCCGCTACCGTCCTGGGTCCCAGGGCGGACCTGAGCCCCGAGAGGCGGGGGCGCGGGGAGAAAGGGTGATCAGCTCGCCGGTGCCACTCAGGCAGCCTTGAGAGTGAGCAGCTCTTGAAAAGACACCTGCCCGGGAAGCCCAGGGGGCCCGCCTGGGTGGGGGGGCTTGGAAGGCGTCCGGGGTGCAGGGACTGGGGGAGCACGAGAATGACGCTTTCGGTTACTGCGTGCGTCCCGGGCCGCCCCTCCAGACCCGAGGCCTGCAAGTGTGCCGAGACTTCTGGGCTCCAGACCGCCCGGCAGAAAGCGGGTGGAAACCGCGGCTGTTCACAGCTCTTGGGAGTATTTGAGAGACAGAAGTGTGTGGGGTTCGGGGAGGCAAGCGCTAGAAAGGGGCGTCTTCCTTTTTAACTAACTAGGTTAACCTTAACCAAAGGTGCAGATTAAACAGGGGCTGCTGGAAAGATGGCCCTACAGTGTACCGTTCTGTTTTCTGAACAACTTAACATGTGATCTGCTTTTCTTCGCTGTGAAACATCCTCTCTGCGTGCTGGGGAAATTCCAGGCATGCGCTAAGTGTATTGACTCCCGAGCTGAACGCCTGGGTTTATTCAATCAAGACATGCTTAGTTTCGAAATGGTAGTTGTTTAGGGTCAGAAACCTGCTGGCCCTTGAATGATCTTCAGTAGGGGTCCTGTAAACTCTAGTTTTTGCATTTCTTGATGCTTGACAAACTGCACGGGATAGATGGATATAGTTTTATCGTGAGTCATCTCTAAGGGGTGAAGAGCATTGGTGGCGGTTGCATTTCTTGATGCTTGACAAACTGCACGGGATAGATGGATATAGTTTTATCGTGAGTCATCTCTAAGGGGTGAAGAGCATTGGTGGCGGACCTGGCGTCTCGCTCTGGAGTTGAAGTGGGCTGAGGCTGCTTGCAGCATTACAGCCTGCCTGAAAAAGGACTTTGCTGTGGCCCCTTCAGCTGCTGCCAGCGCCGTCCCGGAGGTGAGGTAAACTGCTGGGGAGGTGGTTTGCAGGGTTGTTTATTTTTGCCTGTTCTCTGATGCTTCTTAAGAGGGAAGCATTTTGAACAGCGTTGAGATGAAGGATAGGCCTTAAACTTGAGTCGGACATCAGGAAAGATGCTGCCAACATAGGCCAAGCCTGCACAGGAGGCCACAGAGAGGAAGCCCCTCCATAGGCAGTCTGTTCATTAAAATCTCCAGGATCTTAGAGGGGAGGGAGGGAAGAAAGAGGAGCTGATACCACGGGCTCAAATAGAAAGTAAATGTCTGGAAAAGAATGATGGCAACATATGTACAAATATGCTGGATACAATTGGTGTATGGATTGTTATAAGAGTTGTAAGAGCCCCCAATAAAATGATCTTTAAAAAAAATCTCCCTGTCATTTTAATATGCAGCACTTGCTCAGAATCACGTGAGTTTCTTTCTTTTTCATTTTAGATATGTAATGACCCTTAATATCAAAACATGTTAACTCCCACGGAAGGGGGAGGATTGCGCACCAAAGAATTCTAAATCAACCTATCTTAATTTAATTTAATAGGCAATACGCTTATCATGAACCAAGGTTGTTCAAATAAATTGTTTTAAATGCCACTGCAAATGACTTTCCAAACTAATAATTCACCAGCCCTGATGCTTTCATTTTCAGCTGATAGTGAAAATACAGTTTATCACCCCTTACCTTGATGAAGGGTTGGTAAATTTGGCCAGAACGTTTTTGAGGGATTCAAAAGCACCCTAATGCCTTTTCAGAAGCTATTTTTATAGATGCCAATGGATTTATAAGCCAATAAATAATGTGGTTTGAATTCTGGCTATTGAACTTGCATCTGTTGGGCAGAGGCTTGTGTAGAGACTACATGAAGCTTGCAAATATATATACTTTATCATTTTTCTACTTTCTAATTTTTACCAGTGTAGGATTGTGCAGCTGAGCAATGTCTTCGCATTTAGGATGCATGTAATTTACATGGGAATTGATCATTCAAGTTTCTGGAGGAAAAAAATTAGCATCTCTACCCTAATGCTCATTTAACAAATAAAACTGGGGAAATACTATTTGTGGAAAGAGAAGCTCTTTATTCATACCCTGGAGAAATGTGCATAATAGGTGCAGGCATCCTGAATGAATTTGAGTAAATATGATTGCAGAAGTTAAAGTTGTCATGATCATTCTCTTTTAAAAGAGAAAGTAACAAACGTGCAACTCTGTTTTCAGGTTTGTGATTTTACTCTGTAGCCAATTTCCTGCTTATTGAATCCATACTGTGCTGGGCTAATGGTTTTATCCCTCCCGTAACTACCCGTAGTTAGCTGTTTGATGGGGTTGTATCCGACTACTTATAGGCTTAACAAAAGCATGGGTTTGCTACATTGTTCAGGGCACAACATGAAAAGGCTATTTGTGTCCTTATAAATGTTAGCAAAGGTTGCTATTTTCTTTCTAAATTTTTACATAGGGGAGTTCCCTGTGTGTGGAAAGTTGAGCTTTTGCGGTTTTTTTTTATGCCAAAATTGTCTTTATGGTATTATTGTACTTTTGGTATCCAGCTAATAGGGAGGTGCTGTCTGAGCAGAGAGAAGGCTCTGGCAGTCATCAGTTTGCTGAAGGACAGTGATTTCTGGCAGATATATTCTCCTATACAAACATGTAAATGGAAACTTTTGCTTTTCTGTGAGCTTGTGGTAAAATTCATTTATTCTTGTCACCATTTCCTTCTTATTAAATCAGCCCTAAATTGCATGCCTGGAGATGCTTGCAGCAGATTAATGTGTCTGCAGAAAAGAGAAGAGGGGAACATTTTTATTTGTTCATTGATATTATCAGGTAGCCCTTGCCAAATGGTGAAACCTAGAGGCGTGAATGCAGTGCTTTGCCAAAGCAGGGTTTGTTCGTGTTCCTCACTTCAGTTATAAATAACTAAATTAGTCACTTGGTGATCATTGCAGGTTGGGAAGCATCTATTGTGAGGCCTTTGCAAGCAAGAGGGCTGAGTGGAGAGGGATATCCAGACATGCAGTGGCGCCGTTCAGCTGCTGAACCATCTGGAGAGGGAATGAAAGGGCTGGGCTAGGAGCACTGGCATTGTGCTCCTTGATGATCTTGTTTTCCCTGGCCAGGCTTTGTCCCCCTTTCAGTCCCGCGCAGCACAGACGCCCCCTTTGACTGCGCTGCCATTCGTACAAGCTCCTTCTATAGCTGGGGCGCCGGAAAGTTCACCAGTTCACGAACCCCTGCATACTGGCCTTACGTTGGCAACTTCATTATTCTGGCTGCACCTCACCAATGTCTTCCCCCATTGTCACCGTCCTTCCTTCTGCCAGGGGGCTGCTGAGTGTAGCCCAGCGCAGCACCGCTCATCTCTAGTGGGGACCCATCAGGGTGCAGCAATTTGGCAGCCTTGTTTTGAGTTTTTGGAAGGAAAGAGCTCCTCCAGAGGTTCTCATTGTGTATGGGTGGTAAGTGTTTTGATGAACAGTTCTGTGCCTCTGTCTCCTATTTCACCACCCCTGGTTAGGGCTCCAGGAACCTTGGTGGCCTAGTGGTTACAAGTCGAACTGCTAACTGCCAGGTCAGCAGTTGGAAACCAGCAGCCCCGCTCAGAGACCTCTGGGGGTTTGTGTCAGGCTTGAGGAAGCTGGAATTGTCCTCAGCCATCTGGAGATTTACCATTCAAAAAGGAGTCCTGGTGGCCCAATGGTTATGTGCTCAGCTATGAACCAAAGGACAGCTGTTTGAATGGGCCAGCCAGCCTTTCCGGAGGAGAGAAGACCTGGTGATCTGCTCCCACAAAGAGCACAGCTTAGGGGACCCTATGGGGGCAGTTCTTCTGTAGCCTATAACGTGGCAATGAGTTGGAATGAACCTATCAGGCAAATCGCATCACTCAAAACTCAATTTTCTTAATCTCGCAGTGGTGGGTGCTAGTTCAGTTTTGTCTGGAAAGCATAGAATATCACAAATTAGACATAGGTATGAGAGGGCTTCAATAAGTTTGGGGAAATTGAGTGGAAAGGTTATGGAATGTTACTCCTAACTCTGAGGCCCCTCATAGTTATTCTGGAAAGATAATTTAACAGCTAAGCTTTGGGACGCTTCAGGATCATTTTTAATAGTTTCATCGGCATATAATTCACACATCACAATTTAATAGTTTGGTCATATTAAGAAGAGTTCTGCAGTATTACCACAATCAATTTTAGAACTTTTTTTCTTTCATGTATTCATTGTTGTTAGCTTCCTATTCCACTCCCCTACCTCCCGTCATGCCCGTAGGTCAGTAGTTCTTAACCTGTGGGTCACAACCCCTTTGGAGGTTGAATGACCCTATCACAGGGGTTACCAAACCCTTTCACAGGGGTTTCCCAATTCATAATAGTAGCAAAATTACAGTTATGAAGTAGCAACAAAAATAATTTTATGGTTGGGGGGTCACCACAACATGAGGAGCTGTACGAAAGGGTCCCAGCATTAGGAAGGTTGAGAACCACTGCTGTAGGTCATTATCAATCCAGTTACTGTTTCTATAAATTTACCTATCCTGGATCTCATATACAGAAAGTCATAAAAAGTACAAACAAGAAACAAAAACACCTGGCCCACCAAGCCTTGAGGGCGATATTCCTGCTCAGAGCAGTTAATCCACAGAGAAGACCATATGGCCGACCCCACTATGAGACATGACATCCCACACTGACCCATAGCTCTACAGGGGACAACACTGGAGACACAGTGTGGGGATTGTGCCTGATCTGATCCCATCACACCGAGGCAAAACA